CGGTCTTGATCAGGTCTTTGGAGTAGGTGGTAGAAGCGGTCTTCAGCGGCTGCGACAGGTAGAAGTCCAAGAAGCGTAGTAGTAGTTCAAGTGTCAAAGTCCCAAGTGCTATGGTGCGTCCGGTACACGAACTGCAATGAGGTCTGATCTGGAAGCAAGGAAGTCGCAGACTGATGCAAAGATCCATGTCACAAGTTGCTGCTCCAGTAAGTCCGCGAGTCRGGATGCCGGCCRATRAAACAGCATGGTGGCCAAACCAGCTGCATAATCTCCATGAACAGTGAGGCAGCAGGCCATCGTCCTCGTGCGCTTGCCATTAGATCCTTTATCGCCAGCGTCATGCAGGTTCACAACCATTGGACAAGAGAGACAAGGTAGTAGAGAGGACAGATGGGAAAAGGCTAGACGAGGGCAAGGGCAGATCAGACATCAGGAATCAGGGTCAAGGGAAGGATGGACTGGGTTCAAGGGTGTGTGTAGAGCGGGGTTGCGAGGTTGTAGCAGGGTTTATACAGGGGTTTAGGTTTGAGAGTAGAAGAGCAGGTGCCAGTGGGATGCTCGACCGACGGGATAGCAGACTCGTCGGGAGGGGGGCAGGCGGAGTACACTGCGTCGCCCTAGGGTCATCCGATGGGATGTGTGTCACCGGAGGGGTTAGGCAGGCGGATAGTCAATGCCAAGTGAACCACCGGTGGAGGAGAGATCGTCACCGATGGGAGAGCCGGCAGACAAGTGGTCGATGCCTGGGGAGGAGGATTGCAAGAGACGGGGGGACTGTGTTCAGGTGGGGGAGGGCCCGACTGCCGCGGTGGAGGAAGAAGTGGGAGTAGAAGGGCCGGGTCCCGTGGAGCGAGGGGCCGGTCGAGTAAAGCGGCTAGCGTTGGGGCAGTTGGTCTGTTGGTGACCTAACTGGCGGCAGCGAAAACACCCGTTGTGTTCCTGGAGGTATATGCGTTCTGCGGGTGTCAGTTTTTGGAGACGACAGGGTGGAGAGGCAGAAGGCGGTCGGGAGGCACGATCCTGGCGTTCCGTCCGCATAAGGTGGGCTGTCTGGAGGTCCTCAATGGTGAATTGGGAAGGGTCGAGAGAGGCAGCGTCGAAGACGTCATCGGAGGTGGGTGGAGTGGTGTCGTTATGGAAAAAGCGGGGGCGCGAGGGAGCGGGCGCGGACTGGTGATGGGGGTGGAGTCGTCAATCGTGGTGAAGCATGCGAGAGAGGAGGTCAGCAAGGGGCATGTCGGGTTCGTGGGCGAGGGCGGTTGCAAGGTCTTTGTGGCATACTCGCTTGATGCGGGAGATGAACACAAAGTCGGGAATGACAGTGGTGGGGAGGTGATAGCGGAGGGAGCGGATGTATTGGACGAAGCGATCCGTGGGACCGGTCTGGCGAAGGTGACAGAATTGTTCGAGGTGGTCATCGATGGTTTTCTGGGGGCGAAAGGTGGCAGTGAGAAGGTTGGCCCATTGGAGGAAGGAGTGACGTGGTCCTCCGGAGGCTCGGTCGTTGCTGACTTCAGCCATCCACCACTTGGCGGCATTGCCGAGGAGGCGGGAGGTGGCAATGGGGAACCAGTGGGCAAGGGACATGTGGTGGAGGTGAAAAGAGTTCTGGAGCTGGGTTAGGAAGAGGAAAATGTCCTCGTGGGGGAGGCCGAAGAAGGACCTGATGTCGATGGATCGGAAGGAACAGGGGATTTCCCCGTCGCGGGGAACAATCCGGGCGAGGGTGTTGAAGCTGAGGTTATCGGGGGTGGTGTCGTAGCAGGGGTAGTCGAGTTGGTTGTTGTCCTCAAGAAGGTAGTTGGGGGGGAGTTGTGGCATTGCAGGGTAAACCCCGGAGGTGACTTGGGAATAGGTGGGACGGATGGTGGGGATGGTGGAGGTCGTCATGATGGAAGGGTATGAGAGTGCGGGGGGGGAAGAGGGGTGACGTGGATGGGCGAGGAATGAGGCGGTGTGTTGGATGCGCCGGATGAGGGAGGAGGTGGGGGGAATGAAATGGTG